GAAACAGACTCCATGAGGTGGTATGAGGGCCCAGCGTCCACCAGTGGGGCTTGTGCTTACAGCCCAACACCATGCAGGGAGATTGGCATTTGCCAGAGAACACCAAGATTGGCAGATTGGCCATTGGTGCCCTGTGCTCTTCACGGCTGAAAGCAGGTTCACACTGAGCACATGTGACAGAGTCTGGAGACGCCGTGGAGAACGTTCTGCTGCCTGCAGCATCCTCCAGTATGACTGGTTTGGCGGTGGGTCAGTAATGGTGTGGGGAGGCATTTCTTTGGAGGGCCGCACAGCCCTCCATGTGCTAGCCAGAGGTACCCTGACTGCCATTAGGTACCAGGATGAGATCCTGAGACCCACTATGAGACCATATGCTGGTGCAGTGGGCCCTGGGTTCCTTCTGATGCATGACAATGCTCGGCCTCGTGTGGCTGAAGTGTGTCAACAGTTCCTGCATGATGAAGGCATTGATGTTATGGACTGGCCTGCCCATTCACCAGACCCGAATCCAACTGAGCACATCTGGGACATCGTGTCTCGTTCTATCCACCAATGCCATGTTGCACCACAGACTGTCCAGGAGCTGATGATGCTTTAATTCAGGTCTGGGAGGAGATCCCTCAGGAGAACATCTGCCACCTCATCAGGAGCATGCCCAGGCGTTGTAGGGAGGTCATACAGGCACATGGACACCACACACACTACTGAGCCTCATGTTGACTTGTTTTGAGGAATTTCCACTGAAGTTGGATCAGCCTGTCATGTGATTTTCCACCTTTATTTTGAGTATGATTCCAAATCCAGACCTCCATGGGATAATTTTGATTTACATTGATCATTTTTATGTTTTGTTCTAAATGCATTCCACTATGTAATGAATAAAGATTTTCAACTGGAATATTTCATTCATTGAGATCTAGGATGTGTTATTTTAGTGTTCCCTTTATTTTTTTTCGAGCAGTGTATTATTTAAGCCAGCCCAAACTAGTTAATTAATGGCAGATACCAAACATAAAGGTACAACCACCATTTATTTAGACCTGCCATTTGTAACATCTGAAATCTTGTGTAGTGACGTCAACAAAAGCTGCAGCCTAGAGCATCTGTTTCTTGAAGCTTTGTTTGGATCAAACTGTGTGAAGTTGTGGGACAAATATAGACATTTTTTACATTGGGAATTTACCTGGAGATGTTTTTTTTTTTGGAAATGACTGCCTGATTTTCACAAGAGCTGTGACTTAGCAGATGGTTAAAGAAATGAAACGGTTCTTTTCCTGCTGCTGTCAGCCAGTCTGCAGCTTCTACAAAGAGCTTGGAGCTCATTTCCACTGGGAAGTTTACCTTGGGAGTCACGACTCTTTGCATTCAGGAATGTGTTTAGTTTAATGACTGTGGGATATTCTACACCACCTGCCATTTTTGAAAAATGGAGGTTCAGGACTTTTTGAGTTTTTTGTTGATCACTCTTCAGTCCATTGTGACAACATTAGAATGTTCTCTCTACCTCAGGAAATGACACCTGTCTCATTCTCCAAGCGTTAGTTAAACGTTTTTGCTGTAACGAATCATTATTAAATCTTGAATCTAAAAACAGCACTTTTGTACTGGTATTGTCTCGAAAGACATGTATGTCACTGCTACTGATACAAGAGTTGACTCATCACTTATGTCATGGACCACCTGCAAAACTTCATTTTTCTTGTTGCCACACAGCAATGAAGGAACACGAAAAGCACGTTTTGTCACAATTGTTAGAATCAGTGGGAAAACAAATACCTAAATGTGAAAACCTTTGTGGAAATATTAACTTTTCTGGAGGCAAAGAAGCATTTTTTTTTTCACCGTTTAGTATGTTTTGTTCAGTTGTCTAATTTCAAGTGCCCAGAAAATAAATAATTATAGGCTGTCCAGAATCAATAATGGCTTTAACTGAATAAAAGAGACTTGGGATTAAAATTCAAGTAAATATTACTGTGAGAACTTCATAACATCAGCCACAATTAGTGATGTTTGAATGCAAAAATGTACACTTACTACTGTTTTAGCGTTGCTGATTGTTTTAAAATGATTACTTTTTGCTCATCATTGATTGAGAAGCTGATACCGATCAAATTCAAAACTGTGCAGTCTGAGGTAAATAGTTTGCACGTCTCACACATCGCAGTACTTATATTAGGTGCTTCAAATGTGGGTTCACATGGTTTGCGCTTCATCCCCGTTGAGTATATTTTTCAAAAGGATTCAAAGAGCATTTAGCCTTCTGACCGCGATAACTCCCCTGTTGAATATCTCTTGACTTTGAAGTTGGGCATATCCATATCAGACTTCTTGAATTCTCAGTGAAAAGCAAGTATGATGCTTTTTGTATATTTTTTGCTTTGATATGTGTAAATCTACAACAGGAAGCCATTTCTGAAAACAAACAGATGGCAGCACTGTCATAACACTGCATTTATTCTAGCAGTGATGTCCTGGCTGGGTGAGTTTAACATACCAAGCAACAGTTTCCTGACATGCCTGCTCTGAATCAGTTGCAAAAGCTGCTGGACACGCAACACTGTGAATCAATATGAAATCCAATCTTATTCTTCAACAGCAATAAAACAGTCTACTTGTTCACAGCAGATCAATTCTAGTGAGGTAATTTTAACCCCACTGAAATGTTACTTTTCTCACATCACAGTGTGTTGAGCCAATTTAAAAATGGTGCAAGTTCATACCAGTAGACAACTCAGCAGGTGATCAAGTCTGCTCAAGTGAAACTCAAATATCGCAATACGATGTAAACACCCGCTGTCTTGTAATTTCATATTTGCATTCACGGAACAGCATGATGGTGAGGCTGTTATCTAATTAAATATGTTTGTGCTGTTTTGTCTGATTTGCTAAGACACATAAAACAACCCATCTGTTGTTTGGGGAATCAATTTTGCTTCATCTGTGGATGTTTTGACTGGCATAAAGTGGCATTCAAGTGATAGAATCCTGTGGGGGAACATCCTGTTGCTTTGTCAATTAGCTCAGTTCCTGTACGGACAATTTGGTGGCAGCCAAACAGCTACATGTGTACGAAAAAGTGACGACAACAACACAAGACGATCCAATTCCTGAGTGCTTAAAAGAATAAATATACACAATAAATGCAGTAAACCCTCATTTAAAACTTGGATGATGGAAAAAAAAGGAATGCACAACTTTAGAAAGTTCCTACAGAGTGACAGTTCTATAATTTGACTGGAGTAGAAACAAATGAAAATCTGGAACAATAAGTGCTAATGTTTAGCAGTAGTAAATGACATGGGCTTTATAGCGGAACAGTGCACTGTGAACACAGAAGGTGACTGCTGTCTGAGAGCACGGTTGGACCTCAATCTCAGCATCTGAATAGCTGAGCAGCAGTTTAGAATCAATTGAACTAAACCCGGTTATAACTAGTAACCCTGTTAATGCATTCAGGAAAAGGTGATATCTTTGATAGTCATTAAACAATTACACAACTTCACATAGTGTTGCCTTTAACATATTATCCACAGTGTAAAGCAGGTTAAAGTTAAATCTCATCAACAGTGACCTCTACAGGAGTGTGAGTGGTTTTACATGACAGGGTCAAAGTATTTAGGCGAAACTACACATTTAGAGGATACAGAAATGGTGTTCAGGTGATTTTGACCCAGAAAAGATGGGTTTAAACCTGGCCTAAAACTTAAAGTAGGCTAATAACAGAGCCACAGGCCCCTTAAGATGCCCTATTTTTTGTATGTTTATTCTGTTTTCACCTAAAGCAAAACAGGAAGGGACCATTTGCTATGAAAAAGCTCCCATTGTAGTTCTTCTTATTATTATTATGTAGCATTGACTGCTTTTTCTTGTGCACAGGATATTAAACTGACTTTATAGACATCCACTTTGGCTCAACAACCACCTCTCCGATTTTTATTCTAACTAAAGCCTACCAGGTGATTTTACTCATTTCACACTGTCAACATTTCTGAAAGCACCACCAGCATATTTCAGAAAGCAGGTTGAATCTTAACTACTGACTGTTACTTTTCACAGCAAGTTGTTTTTTTTTTCTTTTTTAAATGGAAATGATAAATATGTGTGTTTGTACAGATGCCTGCTGTTGGTGTTAAAAAAAAAAAAGTCCTCAGTGGCACATTTGACACCCTCTGCTTTACAGACAATTACTTGAACAGGTGTTTTGATCTTCATCTGTTCGCAGGTGTTTAAAAAAAATACAGGCGCTGGGCGGATGCAGCACTTCAGTACAAATGCTGCAGCAGCAGCATCCACAGGGAACAGCACAATACCTGCAGCTACCAAAGCCTGGGTGACACCCGGAGGTCCAAGGTAGGGAGATATTTCACTGGCAATGGCTCGGCCTGTGTGTCAAAGCGGGACTTTCAAGAGGTTTTCTCATTTCAACATGACACAATAGGAAAGGCCCGGGTGTAAATGACACAAACAGTAGCTGAATTCCGTCACACTGGGATAATTAAACAATAGGGAGACATTGTTAATTTTATTGGTAACACCTGCTTTTCCAGCTATGGCAACTCAAATATCTATAGTAAAGACACTTGTGAAATTAAACTATTTTTTAGCAGATAAATTATGTCTTTTGGACTTGTGTTTTAATTGTAACTACAATTATCACGTCAAACTTGCTAGCTAGCTAGCTAACTGGAAAAGTTAGCTTGCTAGTTAACGTTAGCAAACCTCACATTACCGTTACCACCTAAAAAGTTGTTAAATTAGCTAAAGAGCAAACCAAAGCCACACTAACCTTTTTTTTAGTTTTTTACTTACAAGTGTGTCAGACTTTAACAAAATGGGTTAAATTTAAATATGACTAAATTGAAAACTGACGCTGTTAGCTTGCGGTGTTTACTGAGTGGTAAGTAAAGCTAGCTTACTTGCTGTCAATCAAGTGTTGGGCTGCAGCTGTTCCCAATGCAGTCTGTGACTCTGAGAGCAGGCAGAAGGTTTTCTCTGAGCACTCCGGTATATTTAACTTCACACATTAAAAAAAACCAAACAATCCAAAAAAAGTTTTTAATACTCCATGCGACATGCCATTTGTGGAGGATCCTGCTCATCTCTCTAAATCTCGACTGAAGGCGGATTTAGTTGCGCACAATGTCGCGCTGCCACCTGCGGAGAGCAAAAAGGAGATTTACGTGGAGCTGCACTTGAAAAACATTGATCAGAAAAACGCAGCGGATTTTTCCAGTGATGAGGAGGATCCGGTGCAAGATGTGGCAGTGAGTTGCTCAATCTCTTTGTTTTGTTTCCCCACCTGAATACTTTAATAGTGACCTTTTGTCATATGGGTGACAGTGATCCAATAGTCTGAGGGGAAAAAAAAGACTCCCAGGAATGAGTTTTGACAGATGCACGTGTTTTTTGGTGAAATGCAAAGGATCGATACTGATCATTAGACTGTTGTGCATAATAATAATAATGTCTTGGAACTAGTTTAAACCGCTGCTGACCTGCAGCAGCTGTGGAGGGGAGGAGGGGGAGATCTGGGTCACTGCTACCAAACAGTCCTGTTGCAGCACACTGAGCCACCAGCTGTATAGTTGGTATAGATTTACATGAGTCCTTGCTGTAGCTGGCAGCTGTCATCAGAGTCGTGTGCACACCTGTCACACTCAGTTATTAGTGCCAGGAAAGAGGAGCTTCACAAACACTTGAAGACTGGAAGTTGTTTCTGTCATGGAGAGAATGTCTGTTTGGGCAGACTGTGTTTTCTATTTAGCCTCTACTGTAAAATCAATAGTACTGTAAAGTCACAGTAGAGTTTCACATTTAGAATTTGGTGCAATATGTGACCCAGTATTGATATTTTGAGCAGAGTTTGGTTCACTGTTTTGTTGCCCTTTGCATATTTGAGCTGTGATTGATTAGTGAATTAATCGGGTAACTGCCTCATGCATTTTCAGTTCCTTGTCCATTTTACCACAGTAATGAAAATAATTATTTGCAAGGTGCCAGTTGCAACCCTGCTCATATTTTTATGTTTTTATGGGAGGGGATCAGTAGCAATGATCTATATTTAAGGTTAGTACTCTCACTGCCTGCACCAATAATGAGTGGTGTGACTGAAATATGCAACTCTGCCTGTTGGTGTGTTGTAGAGAACAAGAAACAGCCTAAAAAATGCAATCGTGACATGTTTTTCTGTATTCTGATTTAAAGTCTGTTTGGCTGTCAGTGAGGCCGTGGACTGATGTGATACTAAAAACTAATTTGGTGGTTCAGTGAAACAAAAAACTATTTTCTATGACACTTTTGAAGAAATAATATTGAATGTGGCTGATACAGATTTTTATTTTATTTTATTTTTTTTAGGGATTAAATCAATTTTGATACTAATATACTGGCTCATTCTGTGGTATGTTAAGAGTTATGTTGAAAAGGAACAGTGATGGGGTGGTTGTTTAGTAACTTAGTAGCATTTTGTTTTCCTAACTAGCTTTCACCTCACCGTAAGGACACCTCTTGACTTCACACAGCCGTCTGCTCAGCTGTGATAAACGCTCTGCTACGTGTCCTGCAGACAGTGCTGTGAACAATGGAGCCTGAGCCAGTCAACTGGAAAAAAAAACTGTATATATTATGACAGAATTTCTGAATAATACAAAGTGACTTATTCTGCCACACGTTCTGTTTCTTTCAAAAATATGTCATATTGGCACATATTGGACAATGCATATGGCAGCTGGCCAGTATATCAGGAGGGCTCTAATTACCGTCAAGCCTATTGGATTTGAACATGCATAGCATTTATCACAGGTAAATGCCAATGTAAATACTTGATAACCCGTATGTGTTGATTTGGACTCAGCCACAAACTTGTCTTTTGTCCTGTTGTTAATTTGTCATCACAGCAGCTAAATTTTAGGGCAGAGGATTTGTACCATTAGATTACACAAATGTGTCAGCTGCAGCCTCCAGCTGTGTTTTTACATGCTCTATATCTCACATCTGGTAACTCCTGGCATTCAAGCTACAGCTTTGTGAGATCTTGGGCAAAATTCAGTAAATTCCCCGAATCTTGTTTTGTCAGGAGCAGGAGGAGGATCCGGAGGACACAGAGATGCCTGACCCGAGTGACTTGACTGATGATGACCTCAAGGCTATGCTACTCAAATACGGAGTTAAGGCTGGGCCCATAGTTGGTAAAGTTGCTTTTAATACTGTCTTTTATTGTATTTTTATAGTCGAAATCGGATTTCTGTTATCATTAATGCAGTTTTTGTGTTTTCTTGATGAAGTCAAGCCATTAAGGCCAGTCTGTTTTAGGTCCATTTGCACATGAAGAACATATTGCCATAGTTTTATTTGTCTATGCCAGGCTCCACCAGGGCCTTGTATGAGAGGAAGCTCAAGAAACTGCTTCAGTCTGATGGACACGACAGATTGAATGGAGCAGAGAAAGCTGTGCTGTACTCTGACAGTGAAGAAGAAGCCGAAGAGGAAGAATCGGGTACAATCTGAAAGTTGACAATTTTTATCTGGTCAGAATTTGTTTTGTATTCATCGTTGGCATCGTATAATTCTAGCTTTGTGTTATTTTCTGTTACTTGCACATGCTCAGAAAAACTAGAACCCGTTGACCAGTCGGACCAGGCCCTACAAGAGAGCAGCCAGGTAGGAAATATTATTGATATCTTTGGTTACAGATTGGAAGTTTGCTGTTATATCTTGTCAATATCATTTTTTTGAGTTGTATGCAACTGGTGAGTTTATGCTACCTATAAACTTCCTCTGGTTAATGTGTCCTACCTTTATCTCTCGCCTCACTGAAATAAAGCTTCCCTACAGTGCCACCTAATGTTTACAGTTTGAAACTATAATGCAGGATTTAGTCTTTTTAATTAGCAAATGCATTTTGAGTGTTAGTGTTTGTGTGTTGTCTTTTGTTTTGTTTTTTTAACTTCACAGACACACTTGCATTTTCAGAATTGCAGGTATGCTTACCCACAGTGCTTTTTACCCTCATCACAGCTGGTAAATACCACAGATCTTCATTTTCATTCACACAGCATTCTGTGAAACTACATTCTCCGGTGACACTGCAGTGTTTTTATTTTTTTTCCCCGTGTTTTACTGGGTTGGCCTTTTTTGTAGCGTGCTTGTCCTAGTAACAGGACACCTAGTTCCAAGTGGAATTCAAGCAATGCGTCAGAAGCATCAGAGCGAAGTTGGTCTCACCGCACACAGAATCCTGTATTAATTAGCAGCGCATCCTCCGTAGATCAACGCTCAGGAGTAGGATCAGGGGTATGCTGGTCTAATTTCACTTCTCCTGTGAATTTTAAATTGTCTGCACTCCTTGCTTAGACTGCATAACTTGATTTTGCATCCTTCATAAAGTGTTATCGATTTTATTTTACAGTGATGGGCATTAGTATCTTACTGGGGTACAGTTCGGGTGAGACATGTTTTTATTGGTGTTAACTTGTAAATACTAATCCTTGCAGGTCCCTCCTGGATCACAGTCTGTAATGTCCAACAGCTGCCCATCATTTCAGGCCTTCAGCATCACTCAAATGGTTAAGGAGGAAAGTTGGCTTTAGGTGTTTTTCAAATCCACATGCCACAAAATTTCAAAACAAACTGTAATTTCAGTTTGTTTTTCATTGAGTAATCTCTGTCAGTGGTTATTCAATGTACACTCTCACTGTAAACAACAGATGGAGAGTCGGAGCTCACGCTCTACTAACACAGATGCGGAGCGAGAGTTGAATGGGAGCAATGTGCAGGAACATTGGTCACGGTCCAGCAGGGTCAGTAGTATTCATGCTGTTCAGTCACACTTTAAGCTCAAACTTTGGTGCTGGTTCAAGTGTTGGAGAGGTTCACTAGAGGTGGGAGTAAGTCTGTGCTACAAGAAACCAGTGAATCATAACCTGTTGTATCTGCTTTTCTTAGCTGGACATGTCGGTTGTGGACAAGGACAATATAAAGAACCAGTCCCTGTATTATACTCCTGAAGCGTCCTTTCATAAGCGGAAAATGAAGGCATATACACCTTTATTTAATGAATTTCCCTTCTGGGATAAATAAAGTATTTTTCATTTCATTTTTTCATTCATTCATTTATGCTGGCTGTTATTTTTCTTTATTTTTATAACACCTGATGGGCGCATGTGCACTGTTTACAAGAGAGCACTACATTTGGTGTCAGTGGTATTATGCATAATCAAAGATAGAAAAATTAAACACAACACCTTAGCAGTTTGTCAGTATGCCTCAGATCTCTGATCATTACATTATCAGTAAGGAAGTAAACATTTTTAAAGAATCGTATATACCATTGATTTAAGAAGATCAGCAGCACAGGCAGTGTTCACACTCTTAAGTTAAAGAACTACTACAACAGTGTAAAAGTACTCTGTTTCAAATTAGTCCTGCAATTATTTATACTTAAGTAAAAGAATGTATTGTCACGAAAATGTAGCTTAAGTATAAAATGTACAAAAATATCCCTTGTGGCAGTTACAGGTATATATTATATAAATATAACGAAAATGTAGCTTAAGTATAAAATGTACAAAAATATCCCTTGTGGCAGTTACAGGTATATATTATATAAATATATTGTTATTATTTATAGTGTAATTTAAAAGCAGGAAGGGTTTGTATCCAACTGCAACTTATGATTATTGTCATTATGGATCAATTTCTTCTTATTTTCTACATTAATCAACTGTTTGATTTGTGAAAATTCAGAAAATAGTAAGAAATGCCATTTTTAATTTGTAATTTTTTTTTTAGCTACACATGCATGAACACTTAAATAGCTTAATTTATAGCAAAACATATTTTATGAGTCAATTTTTGTGAGCCCAAACATTTATTTATAACTCGTAACTAAAGCCATCAGATAAATGTAAGTAAAACGTACGGAAGTTCCCTCTGAGATGTAGTTAATTTGAAGGTGGCATTAAAAGAAAATACTCAAAGTAAAATGACCTCACATTTGTATCTCATACACTTCTTGAGTGAGTATACGTAGTTATATTCTACCAATGAAGGCGATGCATTCTTTGTTGTAGTGTTTCTAATCTTAATATATGGTTTTAAGCCACATGTGACAAATGTAATATAACGTGATGTCTGGAGGCAGTCTCCTATCTGATCCCACAATCCTAATAATCACCTCACAAAGCAAACTGTGGATCAGGACTCAGTGATTTCTTCACCACCACTCACCCTTTTCTTTCATTCGCACCTATCTTGCCGGGCTTTCTATCTCCGTGGGACTCTGCTGTCTGGGACATGTAGTTTTCTCTAGTCTACTTTGTCAGTAATTTTTTGCCTTTTTTTTTTTTTTTAGCTTCCTCAGGAACCTGTGACAGATAGTTTCAGTGACCTCCTTCCAGACATGAAGACCACACCCACAGGGATCTAGTAAGTACAATCACAGCTGTTTGAATGAGATATTGAAAACAAGTGCAAGAGTACAGCTTGCACAGTATAACAAAACTTCACATTTTATTGGATTAGCAGCAGATATATTGTCGTATTTCAGTGCCACCTGTCGGAGACCTATCAGGGGTGCAGCACAGAGACCTATCCAGTATGCATACCCAGACACTCCAATCAGTCCCATGACCCTGGAGAGACGAGAGGTGGAGCGCCGTCTTGTACCCATCCAGATACAGATTTTTGTCTTCCTCATTGTGGCGTGCATCGTATACTTCCTTTTTGTTAATGTTGAGGACGGTAGCTTTGTTTCGGACTTGCTGGACAGTCTAAGCCAGGGGTATAGTGCAAATGGTGCCTTTTGAATTGATTTGTGTTACTTGTGTGTTTTGTAATATTTGATTCATATTTCAATAAAGAATGTTCTGCTTCTTAGCCTACTTTTTGTGTCATTCATGATACCAGTTAAAGTGAGAAGGGGAGGCTGTTACAGGTCCATCAAGGCATCATACTCTTCACAACACTACCCTTACCACATTTCACTGTCCTTTGCATCCAATTCAGTGGTACACACAGACAGGTGAGAGACTAGAAAAAAATCCTGAAAACTGAACCCAAACAGTGAAGGGATCTGGTGGCCGGTAGGTTCTGAGGGGCATTTTGCTGACACAGTCGGGTCACCTTTTCCCAGTAGAGGAAAGGGCCACTGCAAATCAATAGACAGTTGGTAGAGTGTTTACCTTATGATGAAACCTTTCTATCCTTATGGCAATGGTGTTCTTCAGGATACCTAATGATGAAAATTCTGTAAATCATTTACTGTGGCTTTCGCAGTTGCCAGATCTAAACCACATCGAATACCTGTGGGAGATTTTAGACCAACATGTTAGACAGAGCTATCCACCACCACCATAAAAAAACACTGAATGAGGGCTTTTTTTTTTGTAGTTGTGGCATTTAATCCCACCAGCAGAATTCCACAGACTTGGAGAATCAATGCCAAAGTGTATTGGAGCTGTGCAACCACATTCACCATCACTCATGCTTTGGGTTTAATATTTAACTGCAACATGTCAGGTTTGTATGTTTTTATTTTTTATTTTTATCATCTGACATTAAGATTTAACTAAAAATTAAATGTATTCTTTTTCCAAAAGAAAACATGCTGATCTAAAAATCTTTCCGATTCTCTTTTACTAAATGCCCTTAGACAGGCAGTTAAAGGTTTTGGGTTTTTTTCGTTTTTTTTTTTCTTAAAACTGTCAGCTAATGAATGACAGGTGGATGGCTGGCCAATGAGACGTGATACACAGATTGGCTTGCATGCCTGGTTTATCAGTGTCAATGAATTCAGTCTGCACTCAGTAGAGTTCTGCTGCCGCGAGCACGTTTTACGATGACATTTTCAGGTTCAAAAGTTAAAATTTTTATGTTTTTAAAGATTATTCTCAGTGCCTTTCTCGTTACGGTGGCGTTGCTATTTACCGTAGCATCTATCAGGACTCTGTCACTGGACGTAAATGTTGGACTTCAACTCGCAAACTGGGAGAAGACGAACAACATCTCGCTCGTCATAGAGCCCCATCAGAGAGAGCAGCTTCTGGCTAACTTTAAAGGTAAGTTTAGCTAAACAGTTAACCTAACTAGCTGACCCTGTATGGATAGGAGGCTCGTTGCTAGTTTAAAGAATTGTGTCCAGACCATCAGTAAATGTGTGTGTTCATTCATCCATCCAGAGGCTATCCGGATCCCCACAGTGTCTTTCTCACAGACGGAGATAAACACCACCGCGCTGCTGGAGTTTGACAGCTTCCTCCGAAAAGGTAAAAGTGGCACCAAAACATGTCAAACTAGCTGTTTAGCGTGCTAATGTGTTCACCGTGTAACTAGTTTACAACGACTAGAGACTCAACCATGTTCTTGTATGTTATCTCTTGACCTGACTGCAAACACTTTGCTGACCCTGTTGAGATTTTTACTTTAAATTGTACAAAGGTTACTTAAAAAACACAACTAAAACACACTTTGAGCAGTGGGGGTGAAGCAGGTCAGAGGAGGCCGGGAGCAGCAGGGCGATAGCTGTTATTGATAGCTACGTAGCTAATGTTAGCTTAAGTTAGTAGCTAGCTCGTAGCTGAAAACTACACTGAAAAAAAATATAAACGCAACACTTTTGGTTTTGCTCCCACTTTTCATGAGCTGAACCCAAACATCTGAGACTTTTTCTATGTGCCCGAAAGGCCTATTTCCCTCAAATACTGTTCACCAGCCTCGGACACACCTGCGCAATAATCATGGCGTCCAATCAACATCTTGATGTACCACAACCGTGAGGTGGATGTATTATCTCGGCAAAGGAGAAGTGCTCACCAACACAGATTTAGATAAATTTGTGAACAATATTTGAGAGAAACAGGCCTTTTGTGAACATAGAAAAAGTGTAAGATCTTTGATTCAGCTCATGAAAAATGGGAGCAAAACCAAAAGTGTTGCGTTGATATTTTTGTTCAGTGTAGTTTCGAGCTACTCGCTAGCGACTAACTTAAACTAACATTAGCTACGTAGCTATCAATAACAGCTATCGCCCTGCTGCTCCCCCACTGCTCAAAGTGTATTTTAGTTGTTTTTTAAGTAACCTTTGTACAATTTACAGTCAAAATCTCAACAGGGTCAGCAAAGTGTTTGTACTAAGGTCGAGAAATAACTTACAATCATTCATGTGACATTTTAATTCTTGTTAAACTGCAAAAGTAACCACTTGTGGTTTATTTACAAATCAAATGCTACAGTCTGTATTTATTAGCAAGCAGATTTATTTACACATCACCTTATTGTACACATCGGTTTTTAAAAGGGCTTGAAATGAAAATAATGAAATAAAATTAAACATGTAATCAAAAAGTAGATGATTCACAACAGTACAGACAAGTTGGATCAAGTGCACACTGATTTATAAAATAGCTAAAACTGTTGAACTAAAACAGCAATAAAATCAAATAAAATTCAAGAGATGAGAAAAATAAAAGCATCTATGCAATAAAGTATACAGTAATACAGAGAGATGAATTAAAATGAAGTGAGTTAAGCTGCAGAAAAGTTTACTTAAAAAGCTGAAAAACAACATGTGGTCGTTATTTAGTAAGCTATTAATCAGATTTGGTTTTACTGGCAGACAGGTTTTTGCATACAAGGAATTTGACTCCATGTTTTGGTGGGTAACGGCACACACTGACAAGCAGAAAAACCATAAAGAAGGATAAAGATTTTTTAAAAAAAGCAAGTGTCCAAGTCAATAACAGTAAGCAATAATTAAAGCTGCAAGAAACTTTTCCTGAATATGTGACTCACAGGTGACCAACAGCTTCAAACTCAATGCAGTATATTCAGTTTAAGTCAAGTCACTGTTGTCTATATAGCACATTTAAAGCAACAGCAGTTGTCCAAAAGTGCTGTCAAGAATAAAAATACAAATGGCATTATGAATTAGGGCTGCACGATTGTGGCCAAAATGACAATCACGATTATTTCGATAAATATTGTAATCACGATTAATTGTCACGATTATTTGTTGATTTTAACCAAAACTAATTTTATTGTTTTACAGACTTCTAATTGCAACTGTTTTCACATCCATATATTGTGCTACATTTCTGCTAATGTGCAAACATGTGTTTAAAAATAAAAGTAGGTCCTCTTTTTCTCCAAAATTCAGTGCAACTCCTTAAAAAAACTAGTAAAGATAAATAAAAGAATAATGAAAAGGCAACAAAACAGGGCACTAGTTTCCTTTTCCATTCTGTAAATATATTTTCTGAACTAAATTATTAACTGGATGTGAATAAAACTCCAAAGTAAATCAATCAGTAATCACAGTGAAGTTGTAAAAAACTGAATGAATCATGGTGATGTCACCAGAGAATCTCAGCGCTGATTGGCCATCGCGGCGCGTCAGATCGCAAAAGTTCAGATTTTTCAACTTGCTCTTCAAACCGCGTCTAGAATCGCATCATACGCGCGAATAACTTGCTCAATTCGCGTCAATCGCGCTGCGAGACGTTGAATCGCGTCTTCACATTGACTTTACATGTAAATCTTGAGCACGAATGACTTTGCTCCGTCTGGTGTGAACACAGCATTACACATTTTAAATATCGCTCGATCACGCAAATTTGATCGCAGGAAGCCAATATCATGATTGTGATTAAAATTCGATTAATTGTGCAGCCCTATTATGAATTAACTTAAATATTAAGTTTACAGCACCACAGTATTATTAACTTTGGGGTTAATGTGACTAATTTAGAATTTAAGTTATGACCCAGCAAAAATGTACATGTGTGAAATTACTGGAGGAACTTTACTATTAAAGCTTGAAAACCTTCTTTATATTAGTGATGGTGGAGTGGACCGACTCCCTCTTAACTGGAAGAACTCTGCAGCAGAACCAGGATCAGTGAGGATGGCCATCTGCCTCACTGTATGAGATAATTGTACTGATCAGTTATCAAAGTAGTTGGTGATTTATTTTGCGTTCATTTTTCAAGTCAAGACGACATTTATTTTGTAGTTCTAATGAGGTAATATTGCACTCTATATTCAGTGGAACAAAGTCAGAATAAAATTGTCATATCTGTGGTTATCTGTTACAAAGAGTGCAAGGGTAAAAAGTTTGGGGGCCTCAGAGGAGAGAAAAGTTTCAGCCTTTACGTTCCAGTTCCTAGCACAGCTTTTGTGTTAAAATAACTCTGCAGATATTAGCTAACTTTTTTCACACAGCCATGAAAAGGTTTCCCCGTTAAGTTTGTCCCCTTCTGCCTCTATCAGCCTTCCCTACAGTTTTTTCTTCAAGCTTGGTTCATCATGAATCGGTGGGCAACTACAGCCACCTGTTTCGGGTACAAGGATCACAGCCTGACCTGGTGCCGTACCTGCTGCTGGCCCACATCGATGTTGTACCTGCCACAGAGTCAGACGGCTGGGAGGCGCCACCATTTTCTGCCAAGGAGATGGATGGCTTCATCTACGGCAGAGGGACCATAGATGACAAGGGCTCTGTAATGGTGAGAAAACAAGTGACATTTGGTGTGAGCTTGCTATTGAAGAGAGTTGAGTTGTATACTTATTTATGTGGGTCTAATACTAATACTAGTGCTTTATTTCCTCCAGGGAATCCTTCAAGCACTGGAGTACTTGCTGATAAAAGGCTATGCTCCACGCAGGGGGTTTTACATTGGTCTTGGTCATGATGAAGAAGTATGCA